ACCAAACTGTCCGAAACTTTGACACATCACTCCTGATCATCTAAGAATTGTCCTGACACATTGAAAATTTGGATTTTTCAAAAGAATTTTTTAACTCAGCCCAGACCAGAACCAAAATGGCGTCGATCTCTCATATTTCGATCAGTATATAATTATCGAAGGCTCTGATATGAGAATCGAAAGGGTCAGGACAATTTTACGACAATTTAGAACACTCTGGTAATCGATAAACTCGCATTTGAACGGGATAAAGGCAAAAAAAGTGTTGTATGCGCTTCTATGCTAAAACGATGGTAATACGAGGTCTCGGAGTGAAAATTTAATTGACCTGGAAATCACAGATGGCGCAGGGGGTCCCTCTGCAGTCAATTAGGGCCCCAGAAAGCATGCATCCAGAGGATTTCTAGAGCTTTACTTCGATTTCTTGATATTATTGTACGAAAACGACAGGCGGAGTATGCCATTTGGTACAATACCCAATATAATTCGGTATAGCTGTCGATATAAAAACGAACGTCGGTAACGTAGGCATTTAGAAAAATCTTCTTTATCGACGTCGATCAAGTTCCTCGACGTGTTTCACTTCACCTTGAAAACTGATAACCACGGACAAGGATAAGCAGGGAATATCAGCCTGGAAGCGTGCAGTAGCTGAAAGAGCCAAAAGATCAATGCATTATGCAACAAGTACCTCCAAGTATAACTCAGACCTTGAGGGTCGAAATCTTGTTTCTCGAATCAACATTGGAGAGTCAAAGGAGCCGCTCCTCGCAAAAAGAGCAAACAATGCGTGCAGATCGAAATAGCATCGGCTCTCACGCTATCGCAAGTTGCGTAGCAATTTCGTTAATGATGTCATAAAGCCTCGCGTAATCGCGCATAATAGTTCGGTCAGTGACTCAGCCATCGTTCAACCACTCGAATTAGAACGACCCAGTTTTCCGGGACTCCGGAGGGATCCGGGAAAAATGTTCCCAGTTGCCAGAAAACTGCACATCGCTTCCGTACAAACATGTACAATATATATTTTATAAGATAGAACCAAAGAAATGTTTCCCTAACTCAAGGAATTCAAGTGAACTCGAATAAATTGGGTGCCACGTTTCCTCGGAATTAAAGGCAATTTATTTCTAAACGTTCTCAGGCAATTCCCCTCAATTTTCATAAACTAATAAATAAAAGACGTACAAACAATTTTATGGTTACGTGAAACCCCCCTCAAATTTGTCGATTAGAATAAGACACTGTTTTTTTTAAGGGTACTGGATAGTGAATTCAAATAAATTGGGTGCAACGTTTACTCGGAATTAAAGACAATTTATTTCTAAATGTCCTCAGACAATTCCCGTCAATTTTCATAAATTAATAAATAAAAGACGTGTAAACAGTTTTAAGGTTATGTGAAACCCCCCTCAAATTTGTCGATTAGAATAAGACACTTTTTTTTTTTAAGGGTACTGGATGGTGAATTCAAATAAATTGGGTGCAGCGTTTCCTCGGAATTAAAGACAATTTATTTCTAAACGTCTTCAGACAATTCCCCTCAATTTTCATAAACTAATAAATAAAAGACGTACAAAAAATGTTATGGTTACATGAAACCCCCCTCAAATCTGTCGATTAGAATAAGACACTTTTTTTTTTTTAAGGGTACTGGATAGTGAATTCAAATAAATTGGGGAATTAAAGACAATTTATTTCTAAATGTCCTCAGACAATTCCCGTCAATTTTCATAAATTAATAAATAAAAGACGTGTAAACAGTTTTAAGGTTATGTGAAACCCCCCTCAAATTTGTCGATTAGAATAAGACACTTTTTTTTTTTAAGGGTACTGGATAGTGAATTCAAATAAATTGGGTGCCACGTTTCCTCGGAATTAAAGGCAATTTATTTCTAAACGTTCTCAGACAATTCCCGTCAATTTTCATAAACTAATAAATAAAAGACGTACAAAAAATGTTATGGTTACGTGAAACCCCCCTCAAATCTATCGATTAGAATAAGACACTGTTTTTTTTTTTTTAAGGGTACTGCATAGAACCGACTGAAACTTTAACATGTGACTTGTGAGCATCTAGGAATTATCCTGACACCTTTCAACTATGGATTTTTGCAAAAAGAATTCTTTAACTTAGCCCAGACCAAAACCATAGTGGCGTCGAGCTTTCATATTTCGATCGATATACAATTATTGAAGGCTCTAATGTGAGAAATGAAAGGGTCAGGACAATTATCAACAATTTAGAACACTGGTAATCGATAAACTTGCATTTGAACGGGATAAAGGACAAAAAAAGTGTTGTATGCGTTTCTATGCTAAAACGATGGTAATACGAGGTCCCGGAGTGAGAATTTAGTTGACCTGGAAATCACAGATGGCGCAGGGGGTTCCTCTGCAGTCAATTAGGGCCTCGTAAACCATGAATTCAGGGGATTTCTGGATTTTCGCGTCGATTACTTTATAATTATTGCACGAAAATGACAGATGGAGTATGCCGTTTAGTACAATACACAATATAATTCGACCCAGCTGTCGATATAAAAACGAACGTCGCCAACGTGGCTATTTAGAAAAACCTTTTTCACCGACGTCGACCAAGGTCCTCGACATGTTTCACTTCACCTTAATCCTCCCATAAAGTATTTGCATCTTGACAATTTATTATTAAACGCAAATTGAATTTATCGAACAGAGTTTTTCCGAGGAAAACCGCCCGGAGACAATGGCGACCTTTTTCCTCGCCAAGGCTGTGGTTATAAGTTTCCACCAACAATAGCCGAGATAAATTAATAATAATTGAGTCGAAGGTAGAACGTACGATAAGTCCAAGGACGCATCGCGAGGAGTGCTAGGTGCTTTACAACAAAGCCGACATTGATACGTTTATACATTCCCTTAGAAAGGTAATCGATACCAAAGCCCCGCGTTACGTTAAAAAATAGAAAAATGAGATTCCCTTACTTCCCTGAGAAAATATTTTGTTTTTTTTTTTACAATTCTCTCAATGTCTCCATAGTCCATTCTCTATAAAACTTCTCCATACTTCGGTACTCTCTATACAAACGAAAATAGAAAATGAAAATATGAAAAAAATCTCGCCGAAGTTCATTTCAACCGCAAATGACATTCGATGATTATAAATAATGAATCGTAAATTAGCTACAATTCGAGGTGATTAATTTATGAACTTTCGACGAATGTTTTTGTATCAACGTTTCGGTAACGCTTTGACTTTTTTTTTTTTCAATCTTCGGATTACGATCGAAATGTGCAACAATTGCAGTAATCGGTGTCGCGTTTCGCGAAGTCGTTTACGTAGTCAGCGCAAAGAAACTTTTGAAATATGGCCGTGTTTCGTCTGGCACTTTAAGAGTCACGAATGCCATCCAAAATACGTCCAGGGTGACAAACGGCGCACGTGTTTGACGTCTACAAGGATGAATATTTACGATGGCTATTTTAAAAAATTATCTTCCACGTAATTTCGACTGTTCTTCGATTTTTATACCGCGCCAAACATGCGCGAGATGAGTGAAAAGTGACCTGCAAATGAAATGGAAGATTAATTGGAAATTACTTAAATTAAATATGAATGACAGACGAGATAAATGAGAGATTGTCGATAAATCAACTAGATAAAATGAGAAATTATCTGAAAATCGCGGGAAAAGAGTGCTAATTGCCGCCTACCTTCGATCAGCTGATTAGGCGTGCAGCTCTCGCGAAAATGTCTCTCCACATTTGCGACACTTTTCATGCTAATAAGTACGACACATTTCGAGATAATTTTCTGCGCACTGACCCTGCAAACCATGCGGATAATTAGCCTTTCCAATGCGTCCCGATTTTACAAGGACATTTCACGAGGATGTCATTTAACACGTATTAATTATCACTGTGAATAATCTTCGATTAAACTGAACTAGTTCAAAATTTCCCGCGGAAATATAAATAATTATCACGTACGGGTACAAATAGAATTAAAGATTAAACAATTGTAAGCATATATATATGTTACAGTGAAACACCGAAATCTGGAGAATGTCGACATTCACCGGTGAATGTCAACATTCACACAGTCGCTCAGTGTATGTCCGAAATATTTGCTAAATACCCTTATTTCTGACTTACACCGGTAAATGTTGACATTCTCCAATTTCGGTCATTCACGGTAACATATATATAAAATGTCGCGTTTCCAGGAAAACACGCATCGCGTTTCAGCTCGTTTCTCACGCACTAATTATCTCAAGGAATAATTATCGATTAAAAGCAACCAGTTTAATATTTTGTCGAATTTCTCGCGGAAATAAAAACAATTATCACGCCCTTAAAATTCCACATTCAGGAGTAAATAGAATTCAAAGTTAAACAATTGTAAGCATATATACAAAATGTCGCGTTTCCACGAAAACAAGCATCGCGTTTCAGCTCGTTTCTCACGCACTAATTATCTCCGGGAATAATTATCGATTCAAAGCAACAAGTTGAAAATTTGGTCGAATTTCCCGCGGAAATAAAGATTACTCTCAAGGGCCACAGTAAACGGCCGCTTTCCGTCAGTTTCAGTGACAACTAGTCCCTTTCAGTTTGTACGAGACACCCCAGGTTACTTACGCATCACACCGCGTTTGTAAATTCATGCTCGAAAGGTGTGCGGTTGTATACCGTAAATACATGCTCGAGGCGGTGTAAACGGGTTCACACACGGAAGGGTGCATGTGTCCGCGCGTAGGTGAGTAGGTGTCGCGTCGGCTCGCGAGAGCGTCGCGTCCTCGGCGACCTAACCTCAAACCTCGCGTCGCATGGCGCGGCCTGCCTTTGGGCGCACTCACCGTTTCGAGGTCGCGCGATGAAGGGGGTTATGCTATCGCGAGCGTCTCGGCATCTCGTCAGCATCTCACGAGTTCGGCGAGGACGAAACTCGGCAGGAACGACACGAGGAACGGCGCGCGCGCGCGCGCACCCACCTCCGGAACCGTTCACGGGAACGGAATGTGATAGAATGGCAGACAGGTCGCGACGCGCCCGAGCCAGCCGATGTGGAAATACGAGAAGAGATTCTAGCCCAAGGTAGGAAAGACGAAAAGAGACCTAACGATGCGGGGCTCGAAAAATTCCACGCTGTATTTCCCGAGTTTTCTCCCCTACAGGGCGACGTGGCTTGGAAATAAATTTGGCGGAGGGTGTGTGAGGGGACTCTGGAGATTAACGGCCCCGATAATGCCGAAGTGCTCAAATTAGACGGCCTGTGGGATGTAATCGCCTCGTGGCATGCAACGGCCAAGGTGTCGATATATGAAAGCGTTTTCGAGGTTTCAAATTCCCGCGCCTTTGGTGCCATCGACGCGTGGGGGGTGGCGGGTAATTCGAGTTCGAAAAGCAAGATGGCGGATATTGGACTTGGTAGGTATGTATCATCCAGGGAGTATTTCACGATAGTGTCGTCCATTTTACCTAGATGGCGCTGCCACGTTGTTCCAACTCAATCCCCGCAAAAAATTGAAAGCAATGTATGTACGTATTTAATTCCACTTCCTGCAATTATCTGAATAATATATTGTGTTTATTAGGATTTCAAATCCAAAATGAACCTACAGAATGTTTGGCAAGATAGAAATATTGCCTTTTTTTAATTGAACTGTACCTAGCAACTGTTAAGTGTTAAATCATAACAAACCAGTGCTATTCGTTGCTAAGGGAGCTTTTTGTCAAATACGATGAAACGCTTGAAGTTGACAAGCTCCAATTTTGAATGTGGATGAATATAAATACAATTTAACCCACTACGCAAATAAAGGTAAATATCAGGCTTCAACTGTAATTTTTAATTACTAAGTATTTAATGTGGTTGTCGATTACTCCAGTATATTTAAATGAATATTTTTACAGGGAACGATGTCTTCAGTTTCAAAGGTTACTAATACACCGATTAAGCGGCCTGAAAGTAAACCAAGAAAGTTAACGATCGAGTCCTCGGACTCTTCGGAAGTGAATCCTCGAATTAAGAGATTCAGAAGATCGAAAGGTGTCCGAAGATTAAGAGAAATGTCTGGCGATACTCCCATGAATGAACTCGCCGAAAGCAAAGCTTCTTCCGACTCATCAAAGAGGTCAAAGAGGCGGAAATCTAGGAAACGTTGGAGCAAAGAATCGTCCTTAGACAAAGTAGGCAGCGATTCTGAACTTGCACGATCTTGTAGCAGGATATGCAGCTATTCACGCTCAAAAAATGAGTACGGAGATATTCCAGAAAAGTCAAGAAGAAAGTCGAGTAGTAACTTTTGTGGTATGGTTCTTCATTTAGGAAAAATGTCAGTTTTCCTTCTGTACAGTTTCAATGTAAATAGCACTATTGTCAATTTACCTTACGTCAATGAATGTTTTTTTATGTCCGAAGGTGACGATGAATTACCTATAACAAATGTCTTGAAAGAGGCACCCGAGAGCCCTAGGACCACATATATCGGAGAAGCTGTGTCGATTCGAGACTTGACCACGGATACAATTTACGTTCAAGGTCGAAATGGATTCAGTGCTGTTAAAATAGGCCAATCTTCAAAAACTTCTACCTCCTCTCCTCTCAATCTTCCAAATGACATTCTCAATTCTCAGCCGATTAAAGCAGCTGTTTTAGTTCAGAAGATTTGGAAATGTGCAGGACTGACTTGTCAGGGATTTCTCGGAGGAATGTCACTGATGCATTTCATCATGGTGAATACAATGAAGTTTTAACTTATTAGTGAACATTAGTTTTGTAGACAAAGTGACGCTGAGAAGTTAAAATTTTAGTTTCAGAATCTCTTTGAAATGTCTCTCGAATTTCTGCCATCTTACTCCATATTCTCAGAGATCTATAGTAATGGCTTTTCTTTCCTGGTCGTCATGTGCTTGATTTCCACCTTCGACAAGTGAGCTAAATTTGTACAAATAACTGTACGAATAAGAATGTTTATAGAATTATTCTCTTTCTAAAAATAGAACATTGGGATGGTTACGATTTAATTTCCATGTCAAACTTCTAGCTTCGATCTTGCACATATGGATCTCGATCACTTACGAGAAATTTACACCGATCACTCTAAATCTGTGCTATCGATTCCTCTGTACATTATGGCTTTCGTTCTGCATCAAGTCACCTTAAAAGTGGACAATAAACTAGCATCGATATCATACAACGAAACCTTACAGGACAACGTAAGGACAAAAAAAATACTGTGAAAGTCTTGTCATTCGAATATTTTAACTTCTAAATTTTCAATTGATGTTCATTTTACAGACTACCGATCAAGTAATTACAAATGGCGAGTTCAAGAGTTGGCAATGGATGACGATTTGTAAGGATATTTCAGCAGTTTTAGCCTGGCTCTTCGTGTCCTTGAATTCTCAGTTGGACCTTTTCCTATTACAATTACAGTCAATGGAAAAATACGCCGATAATGTCAGTTCTTCCAGATGAAAGCAGGCTTGAATTTTGTTCCCCTCGATACAAAAAAAATCATTCTTCGAAAGAAATCTTCAGATAGGGTGAAAAATGGTATCGTTAGAAGTGTACGATTTCGACGTTTATTTTTAACAGAATAGCGCTTGATATGTACAATATTTATAAAGTTCGCCTAAGTACTAACGATAGATATATATGTATATATATTTATATGTATATATAATAGCTTGAGAAAACGTAACAATATAATAAAATATATTTATATATGTATAGATCAGGTGGGTCGAGGAAATCTGAAACGTTTTCCTCGACGCACTCGCGACATGCAAATTATGCACGCGAGGAAACACGCCGGTGCATGTATATTATTTATTATAAACACATAAATAAAGCGTCTCTCGACGAGGATATATCGGTAAAATGTGAGCATAAATAAATGTTGAAATTGTACTTTCGCAAGTAGGCGGTTAATAGAGAGGGGAAAGGGAAAATAAATACTGTTTGAAATGTTATAAACAAGGGTCATTGACAAGGCATAAATTATTACAAAATGGAAGCCATAGCGGGGACACATACATGCATCTATAAACACACGACTTATTAATTTTTTTTAAATGGATAATTACGTTGCCGGTTGTAAAAAAGTATGCGTTGAAAAATATTATTATTTTTTTTTCTTACATATTTATCTCGTGTTATTTGTTGCCGAGAGTGTGTTAATTCAAGGGACATTGTTCGTGTGCGTTATTTAGTAGTACGCTTTGTCAATGTGCCTCGTTTCTAAAATATTCATATTTCACGCCGGATGCTTTCCGTTTCATTTAATTTAACTTAAATGGGTATCATTAATTTCTGTTATTTCATGTGGTGATTGTTAATTATATTCATAATTTACGTAGCTGTATTAGAGAGGCGTAAATAGAACTATGACGGTTTTGTCCTATCGATCGAACTCCCGCTGAAACTGTACATGTTGATTCAATTTCATTAATTTGATCCCTGCTCGCGATTCCGTAGAACTGTTAACGTAATTGCATATTATATCTCGCGAAATACGTTTACGGAATGTTAAACATTTGCGTTATTGCATAATTAATATGGAATTTCGGTACTTTCGGAATATCCAGCTAACGCGTATTGAAAATGGCGAAACTCTCGCGTGATATTTCGGAGATTCTTTTTTCGTAGTCGCAAATCTCTCTCTCGAAAAGTGGGCCAATTATATTTATAAATCAATTGCCACAGCCACTGTAAAATTGTGTCAAAAATGGCGGCCAGTTAAATTCCTGGAAACGGAAAGCACCCTTTTTTCATCGTCGTTATGGAGGTTGTCGTTACAACGATCCGTCTTTTATACAATGACTAATATTAATTTACAAGTAAGTCCGACTTGTAATACTAAAATATTCTTCCATTATTGATTAGCAAGGCACTGCGTGCAGTTCTGTCAGAAGTTAGTGCATCCCTCGAATCTGAATCTCCTTTTTTGCGTCTAAAAGTTTCCCCGATGAAATTAAACGAATAAAAAAAAAAAGAAGAAATGTCGCGCGTGAAACTCGTCATTTGAAGATAAATTACTGCGTTCTTTGAGTTTCGACATCGTCGAACTTTCCTCCTAAAATTTCACCGAAGACATTAAATACGCAAAGATGGCGACCTGGCCATTCGAGGGATTCTTCTTCGAGCGGATTATTCGAAATGGACCGATTTTAATCGTTAATTCGGATCTCATTAGCGTTAAGGTGAAGTGAAACACGTCGATTAATTTGATCAACGTCGATAAAGAAGATTTTTCTAAATGCCTACGTTGCCGACATTCGTTTTTATATCGACAGCTATACCAAATTATATTCGGTATTGTACCAAATGGCATACTCCGCCTGTCGTTTTCGTACAATAATTATCAAGAAATCGAAGTAAAACTCCAGAAATCCTCTGGATTCATGCTTTCTGGGGCCCTAATTGACTGCAGTGGTACCCCCTGCGCCATCTGTGATTTCCAGGTCAATTAAATTTTCACTCCGAGACCTCGTATTACCATCGTTTTAGCATAGAAGCGTATACAACACTTTTTTTAGCCCTTATCCCGTTCAAATGTGAGTTTATCGACTATTAAAGTGTTCTAAATTGTCGTAAAATTGTCCTGACCCTTTCGATTCTCATATCAGAGCCTTCGATAATTATATACTGATCGAAATATGAGAGATCGACGCCATTTTGGTTCTGGTCTGGGCTGAGTTAAAAAATTCTTTTGAAAAATCCAAATTTTGAATGTGTCAGGACAATTCTTAGACGATCAGGAGTGACGTGTCAAAGTTTCGGACAGTTTGGTCTAATACCCTTAAAAAAAAGTGTTGTATTCGAATCGACTGATTTGAAGGGTGTTTCACTTCACCTTAACGCGTCGTAACATTTACCCGCAATTTACATTCGCATGTAAAATCAACGATTTCACGTCCTTGACGCATATTTTCAGGAAATCCGAGCCCAACAGTGAGCGGAAAAGTCTACGAGTTTACAGTGGCAGTATCGAAGATAGAATTTCGGTAGAGTCGAGGAAAACCGAGCGAAAAGGACGAAGAGGACTTGCAGATCCCCGAGAAGAAGTCGAGGGACTTTTTGGAAATTCTGGGAAATTCTGGGAAATTCTGGGAAATTCTACTCAGCCCGCTCTTCGTCTTCGCCCGCGATTGTCGCAATCGGGTCGCTTCGAGAATGCAGGTAAAGATCACAGCACTTTCGAAATCGCTATTTCTAGTTCAGGCTGATATAAAAGGACGAGAGTGGCAGAAAACCGAGGACTCGCAAGACCGTGGAAAGAGGGGATTCCTTTTTTTTTTCAGGTTCTCTCTCTTTTTACGGGTCCTGCTCTTGGACGCCACTCTACGTCCTTTACGTCGGTCAGGTCCGATTTTGTGCGTATCTACACCACGTGTAACTGTTGTTGTTGTCGTGGTGAAGTAATTCTCAGTCGTCGAAGTCATGCCGCAGCTTTATGTAAAGGCAGGAGCCCAAAACTATGCCGAAGATCTCCAGGACGGAAAGTCCGAGGCCGACAGCTCCCAGGATGATCAAGTGGTCCTTCGTGGTCTCCAGGAACTTGTAGATGCAGCCCTGCGGTTGGAGAAAATCTTCTTATTTACATGTATAGTATGTATAATAAATAGTGTAAAATACAGGATGTAATGTAGTCTTATCCATGAAGTAGTATAAGAAGACAACGCTTATGTCGGTTCCACAGAAAGTGGCCCCAGAATCTCAGATTTTCGCCAATTTAAGGTGAAGTGAAACACGTTGAGGAACTTGATCAACGTCGATAAAGAAGATTTTTCTAAATGCCTACGTTGCCGACGTTCGTTTTTATATTGACAGCTGGGTCGAATTATATTGT